ATAATAATAATAATAATAGTTATAGCCAACAACAACATTAATATGTAGCTCTCAATCCTGATTTAAGAACACTGGCTCTTTACAAGTAAAACTAGAAACACATAAACATTGTGTTCTGACTAAAATGTAGTAAATATCCAGACATATAAGTCATATATCGCTTTATTCTGAAAGCAGAGATGACTTTGAGCTGACTTTTGAAAGCATTATTATGTAAATTTGATAGCTCTAAAATTACCTGGCAAAACGCTCAGGATCAAGTTACTTCACCATTTCGCTGCAATGCTTTATTTTTTTTATCCCACTCAGGAATTCTATTTCCGTTTGAGGAAGGTTAATATTCTATTGCTTTTCAAGTATATATGCATCTCCATCAATTCTCTATAAAACTGTATTCCACCCACCCAGCAAGGGTTTGCCCAGGTAGCCAGAATTGAAGTAACCCGCCTCCTAAAGATATACATCGTGTCTACAGGGAGCGTAAAACATTAAAAACCCATTGGACCAGTTATTCATTTAGTTTTGTTGTTGTTGTTGTTGTTGTTGTTGTTTACTACTAATTCAGCTGTGAAGTCTTTCACCTTGGAAAACATCGTTGTATTTGTTACAGTGTAAGTTACAGTGTATCAAAAGGAAAGCACAAAAACAATGAAAATCTGACTCTATCACGTTTTCCATGTCTGTAAACCACACCACCTCGCTGAGAGAAAAGATCGTGAAAAGGAACAGTTCCGCAGCAGCAACGCGAATCCGTCCGCGGAAAGATTGTTTTTCCCGCCATTTATTTACGACGCCTGGCCATCGGCAAATCTCCCGTGGTCACCGGATCCGTACGGCCCATTGCGCAGGATCAAGTAATTACTGTCAGACGGTATTGTGGCCCGCCCTACTTTACCGTCTGCAGCCGTCTAATAAACTGTTTCATCGGTTGCTCTCCTGCAGTTCCCATGCCACGCGTGCGCTCATTTCGAACTCACTCCAGTCTGATTTCTCGTACATCAGTGAATTGGGTATGCGCACAGCATGGAGGGTGTACGCTTTGCTGTCAGCAAGACGTCTTGGAATGAGTGTGAGTATATGCTTGTGTGTGTGAGTGAGTGCGTATATATGCAGTGAGTAAAGAGGGAGAGAGAGGGAGAGAGAGGGAGAGAGAGAGA